GGAGAAATGATCCATTCTGCATGATGGAGAGCTGTCGCAGATGGTCTATTATCATGAATGTATTCTCTTCTCCTTGTTTTGCAAAGCCACAACAGGATTTTTCAGCCTGCAGAAGTCAACTGTCCTGGATAAGAAAGGAGTTAAGTCTCTCTCTGATGTTAAATGCTGGATGCCATGCTTGTTGGCTCAGGTTCACAAAGCCAAAATGTAGCTGCCTTGGGGTGATCCCCTTTATCTTTGTTATGCTTAATATTCAATGAATCTTGAACAAGGGGATATATTTCAATTTGGGCACGTATTGATTTTACAATTTACAGTTTATTGAAAGACATGGGAGGGTATTTCTTCCACCCACCCACCCACCTATTCTGGGGTATCTCTGCTTGTAATTATACTTCTGAGCCCAGCTGGACTTTAACTGAAATTTTTCTGCTAACTGTTAAATTGCCCGAAAAGTTTCCATACTCCTGTCAAACCAGTGAACAAAGGGCATTTCCACTGAGTATTGACTACTGTCTGGACCAGCTGGCTGCATGAGGCCCAATTAGCACACAGCTGTGGCCCAGCTCAGCTGTGTGCTAAAGGCCATGGGTGAGCCCGGGGTCCCAGGTAATAAGTTGAGAACCATTGGTCTGGACAGAGTGACTGTCACTTGTCTTGTGGTTAGAGAAGGCATATTTTGGGGGAATCTCATCTTTAATTTCTTTGCCCCACATTTCTACCTACCTTACTGGAATGTTGTGAGTCTTTAATGATTTGTAAAGTGCTCTGTGGGTCTTATATGACAGTTGCTAGACAAGTACAAACTTGCATCCTTTTTTTGCAGTGGTATCCTGAGGTGCGACACCATTGCCCTAACACTCCCATCATTCTAGTGGGTACCAAACTTGATCTTAGAGATGATAAAGACACTATTGAAAAGCTGAAGGAAAAGAAATTGACTCCAATCACCTATCCACAAGGCCTTGCCATGGCAAAAGAGATTGGTATGATTTTTACTGAATTACATTGACTCTACCTGAAATTCATTGTATAGGAGGAGACTTTAATTTTAAGAGGAGATACTTTTAACTGACCGACTGCCAAAAACAGAAACAAGCGTGTCTTTGGCACAATGTAGAGAATTGTTTTGTAACTTCAAACCTTCTGGCTTTCTGCAGGTGCAGTGAAATACCTAGAATGCTCAGCACTTACACAGCGAGGCCTCAAGACAGTATTCGATGAAGCTATTCGAGCAGTTCTCTGCCCCCCTCCTGTAAAGAAGAGGAAGAGAAAATGTCGTCTGCTGTAAATGTTACCCTGCCCCACCCCCACTCCGAACCTAGTGTGCTTTGCTCAGAACAAGGGAGCATTCACATTCAATGCCAAGTTTTTCTGTTATAAATTAGTTCTCTTCCATAAAATTTTTGAACCAATCAACAATTTCATGGTTTCATTTGTTTAAAGTATGAGAACTGCTTTTCAAATTCTACTACAAGTGAAATCCTAAAAAATGACAAACCTATGTAAAGCCTTATTTTTAAAGTCCTATTCTTGCTCAGATTAATCAAGTGTTGCCAAACTATCTGCTGAATTAAGTTGTGTTGTTGTGCTATGAGCACTAAGCCCTAAACTATTTTTAAGACTCTTGTCTTTAAGAAAACTCTAATGTCTGTAGGAAATGCAAAACACTCTAGTTTTTCACAACTATGTAACAGTACAGTATCCTTAGGAAAATGTTGCAGTCTAATGTAAACATTTTCTCAACCTGTGGTTGTTGCATAGCATTGTATATCCAACCTAAATGATTAAGGTAATTGACTATATGACTGACAACCTTAGTCACAGTAAAAAATGCTTTATCCCTGGTAAGGGCTCAGTTACAATGTAGTTCTTGCTGCTGTGATTAAAAATAAATATTCTTACTGAAGTATATGTACTCCTCTTGACAGCATTGTATTGTGATGGGTAGGTGAAACACATCTGGTTTGATCAAGTGATATTGCCAGACAGTATTTTGACACTGTACAGACCAATTTACACTACATTGTCAACTGAGTGGTTAAGCTGAATAGATTTTTGTCACAGGTAAAATCAACTTGTCACAAATATGCAGTAGGTGAAAAAGTGGTTGGTGTTTATAGGTAAGTTTTTTTTGAATTAATTTTCAAGTAGGGCACAACTTTCAAACAACTTTGAACTGGTCCATTCCCACAGATGTTGTTATATTTAGTAAATGCTTTTCTTGTAGAATTTCTTCTTCTTGAGCAATATAACTTGTATTTTAAAACCTTTCTGATATATTAGCATTTTGTGCTTTTTGTAGATTAGAAAGTTTACGCATATCCTTATTTTCCTGTTACTTCTGATCCAGTAAGTTACGTGCTTTCTGAGGAGCTTTCTTTAGTCTTCTAGTCATTAGGTGTAAAAATCATGTGAAACAGCTTTACAAGTTTTAGTAATTTTTATACTTTTGACCTCCTTAAGCTCTGAACCTTCTCAAACATTACTTTGCCAGGTACCCCAACACTAACATGACTAATGCTGACAATTGTCCTTTAGCTCACCTACATGTGCATCACAATGATTTATCTGGTAATAACTTGGGTCTGTGAAGTTCTGTAACTTAGTGCTAACAATGTTCTGTACATCCTAAACTGGCAAGAATACAATGTTGAACTATACCCTTTCAACCACTAGAGCAAAATTTAAAAATCAAGTTGCAAAATTGTGAAGTTTTTCCATTGATCTTTTGCTAATGCAGTTAGCAGTATGTTTTGCATGTATGACTTAATAAATTCTTGAATCATGTCATTGGTAATGCTTGAATTTTTGTCTAAATGTTCTTAAATCTTTATTGCAAAGTGTGTGTGCTTGCTATTTATAGCAGAGGGGTAGTGGTTTGGAACTGGCTGTCTCAGTAATATGTAAGTACATGCTCTTCAAAACAAATGAATTACAGGTTGCTAGATGTCATGGGGTTAGGGATTTTTAAAAAAAACACTACTTCTCTGGTCACTAGCCCAAGAACGGTGCTGAGAGAAGTTTGCTGGCCTTGACAGTTTTCCTTGCATGTTGTAGGATGCCATAATTTGGTCCTTCAAATAAAATTGTATTCTTCTTACCTTGCTTTGATCCCTGTTTCAGATGTGATAAAAAAAACTAACTAGCTACTACTGTCTCTAGCTCCCAGTGGTGGCAATTTAATGCTTCAGTGATTTGAAAACTGGGACTTGTATAGGACAACCATCTTTTCCCCTGAACCATGCTTTCAGACTCCTTTGTGGAGATGCCTGAATTTCAGTTTAATTATAGGCTAGAGTATAACTCTAGGACTACCTCCCCCCTTTCTTGAAACAGTGCATCTCACCATTAATGGGGAGCCTGCACAAAAATCAAGAATAGCTTTTATCATTCTTTGTTTAGTCACATTCAGCATCACTTACTGGGAGGACTGTTTGTGACCACTGCTATCTCCCATTTCCTTTCTTTGCTCTTCATTTACCTTGTTGCAACAACTTTCAGTTCTTCCTCTATTCCTGTCTGCTAATCACTCCTACTTTATATACTTAATTTTATTAATTACAGCTGATATGACATAGACAACACACCAGTGAGACTGAGGGGGAGGGGCTTTTAAGAGTCAGCCAACACTGCATCATACTTATCTTGCATTTAAAACAGGTGGGCAAACTACAGCCTGTGGGACCCTCCTACCTGGCCCCTCCCCTGCTTTTCCCCCTCAGGCTCAGCATACTGTGCCATGCTCTGGGTGGCTGGGCAGGTGACCCTTCTATAAATTAAAAACACTTTTTATATATTTAACACCATTATAAATGCTAGAAGCAAAGCAGGGTTTGGGGTGGAGCCTGACAGCTCATGACCCCCTGAGGGGTTCTGATCCTATTTGAGAACCCCTGGAAGATTGTGGAAGACATGAATTCAAGCCCCTGCTTCTCCCACATTTAAGGGACTGCTCTAAACCATTGGCTAGGCCAGAAAGCATCATCACCCTGATCTTCATAAAACTTCAAAACAGTTGTGGATTTGTCCCAATGCACAACAGGAAAACCTTGCTGCTCAGAAAGACTGCTACTGGTGACAAAGCAGGTACAGTTACTGTGATGATATGAATTGTTACAAGCAGGGATTAAACTTTACAGTGGGGGTGGGGTGGGGAAATCAAAGGAAGCATCTTGCCTTTGTTTTGGTACTACTGTACTAAAATGCATCTAAGAATCTGATTCAAGCTGATGGTGACACTTAAGACATTTCTATTTCAAACAGCAGTAAGTCAAGATGCACTAGACAGGGCTCATCTTCGAGTGTAGTCATTTACACTGCCAGGTCCTTAGTGTTGCTGTAGCACAATTCACAAACAGGATTGCTTTTTATATACAAATCATAAATTTTCTGTCCTATTTGTTACACATACACAAGCACTGAAGTTTTATTTTGGCCCTGCTTGAAGGGGCACAGTCGGACTACCAAAACAAAATTACACTATCCCAACACAAATTCTGACTTTACATTTCTTGTTTAAAAAAAAAGGTGCACTACGGGACTCTCTCTGACAAGCAACTATGCTTTTTACAAAAAGGTCACTTGCTCAGTACAAAGCAACCAAGCTTACTCAGACATTCACCCTACAATCAATTTAAAGGGTGGAGTTGCAAAATTGGTACTTGCAAAGGTTTAACTAGAGAAACCTTCCACGCATTCGGTTCAGTTGGAAAGAGTCAGAGGGTCATTCGTCTCAGGCTGGATCTAGTGTAGAAAGGGTACAACGGTTCTCATGTCAAATTCTAAAATAAGTTCTTAAAGGATTATTCCTATATTCTAGAATTAAAAATGCATAAAGTAAGTCCTTTAGGATTGAAAATGTAAACAGATAAAAAAATATTGCACATGTATCTAAGCAGCATTTTTAAAACCAAGAGCCACTATAAGAAAACTGTCATGAAATAAATGATACCGTGGAGATATTTTCAGAAGGTAACTAATGCAATCAATACGGGCTCTTTAAATACAAAAGTTCATTTATTTTTTTAACCCTCTCTCTTTGCACTAGATTTGCAACTGCACCATCATTTACTACCCAATTTCCTTTAATGAAACTTCCTACTGGGAGTGTCCATTTCTAATAAATATTAATTCTGTGCTTTTACATAGCACCTTTCACCCAAGAATCTCAGTACTTTGCTAAGATGGGTAATACCCTCATTTTACAGTTGTGAAACTGAGGCACAATGGAAGTTAAGTGACATATGCAAGGTAATATAGCAAGTCTATGACAGAGCTGGAATTAGAATTTGTGTCATGGTTCCTCTGCTCTAGCTCAATTATCTTCCTATGAATTGTTCTCAGTTTATCTGAATCCTTCCAGCTGTAAAATGGAAAGGTACAGTAGTTTACATGTAACTGGCTAAGACTCATCTTACTGTTCCATTTCCAGAAAGGTCATATCTGCTTCTGTCAAAATTCTGAATACATTCATTTTAACCATTTTCTTACACTTAGCCAGTAATGTTTACCTCTGCAGAGTAAAATGCATTTTGCATTATGACAGTGACCAAGACAATGCCTCTCCAGTTTCTATTTTAGGCATGTTAAAAACAAAAAAAAAAACCACACCACCACTTAAGTCTGAGGTTAAAGGCTCCTAGAATCCTTGAAGCTTACAGAAAAAAAACCAGAGCTATTCTCTTAGAGCTATAGTTATACGATGTTGGTGTGAAAGTCTCCTTCTATTTGACAGGTAATACAAGATGCTTTTTCCTCAGTCAAGCTGTTCAAGGCTTTGAGCACAACATCTGGCATGTGATCCGTTATCATCTTGGGACTTATTAAAATATTGCTAAAGGCTGTTTCTTTTGACCATCTTGCAGTATATTTAACATCAGAAGAACACCACCTAAAAAAGACAAATATTTCAATAAAGCCTCAAACATTTAGACTATCACATGAATATTGATCTGTGTCCACGATACAGTGCAAATCTTGGAAATCCACATTGGCCTTAGAAAGCATATTGGTCATATATTTAAAACCTTTGCAGATTATTAAAGGATATAAACAAACCTTTACTCAGCTACTACTAAATATTTTACATAATTAGAAGAAAGTGGGCTTTTCAAAAAACACTCTGTATTGGCCTAGTGTGCTCCTGTTTATATCAATGGTAAACCAACTTCAGTGAGATCAGAAGTAAGCTAATCTGAGAGCTAATCCTATTCCCCACATTCTTCTTATCCTGAGTTAGATTCTGTTCTATTGTAACATTTGTGCAGCACCTAAATACTTTGTGATGCCTTATATAGAGCTGTACAGTATGTGGCCTGCACCAAACACGTAACAAGTACCTCTCCTGGCTAGTTTACTGTTTAAAGGTGTAAATGAGTAGAACACATTCAACACAGAATGGGTTTTGGTCATTACTGTCTTATGACATTGCAGCTGTATTCAGTGGAGGGGACAAAGAGAGGAGGTTGTTCCCAGTGTTGGGGGTGAGGGTGAAACGAAGCACTGACTCAGAAGTAGGTAAAAGAAACCGGGAACGCCAGAGAAGATTGGATACAATATATAAAGGGCATGAATACGTGTAGGAGAAGATGAGAGCAGAGCTCTTGCCTCTGCTCCCAAGGTGACGAAGAGAAGCTTCAATTTAATAATTCAGTGAAGCATAATGCTGATCATTTACCTTCTTGAGCTGGCTTCTTCTACAATATGGATGATTTTTCCTGGGAGATAAAGATGAGGATACTGAGGTGGAGAATTTAAAGGAGATTCATCCTCAAGGGCATTGTAGGAAGGTGACCGATGCATCATTAAACTCTGTTCAGCTAGAAGAGGCTGGGTTAGGGCATCTTGATTTCTACCATCTAACTCAGTTGGGAAGTTATCTGGATCTCCTCCGAACACTTCATACCAACACCCATACAGCAGGATCTGGTACTGAGTTCAGAGAGAAAGAAGCAGAACATGAAATATTGATGTTTATTTTCAAAGTAGTGTAATTTAATTTTACACACACACACACACTTCAAGATCTCTATACCCAAGTTTCTCCACATTAGAGAGACTTTTTTGTGGACTGAGTGGATATTAATTAGTTAAGAAGGGCCAATTCAGAGGCAAATGTCTACAACTCTGACAATTACATTTTTTTTGGTATACTTCTCCTATCCAGCTTGAATCCCCACATCCACCATCTCTAGCTGCCTATCAGCTTCTTTAAGTTTAACTCTCCACAGAGGGCCTCCACAGGGTCACTAATCCTGGAAGTACACACAAATCTTGGAAAAACCCATGAAGGATCTAGGGTTTAACTCTAGGCATCGATGGATGGCAGTTTTTAACCTACTCCTTCTCACACCACAAGGAAGTCATCTTCCTGACAATTTATTGTTCCAGTCCTCCAAGAGGGCCACCCTAAAGCCCCATCCAGCGTGCGATCCTTCTCTAATGACTACTGCTCTAAGGATGCAAGCATACCTTCTTTTGGAACTTTGCCTGTGTTTCTTCAATGAATAGTAAGGACTGATTGTACAGCCAAAGCCTTCCCTGGTGATGGGGAGAAGTCCCTTCTACAAAATTCCCACTCCCTTTTGGTCCCAGAAGACAGGGCCAAACTTAGCCTAGTGAGCCAAACTGGAGTGCTCAGTCGTTGATCTATCAATCAGTCCTTAATCAGCTGCAGGGATCATTGCTGAGCAACACCAGGGGCACACTGTCCCACTACTGACACTTTGCACAGCCTCTGCATACTTCTAGTTCCTAACACAGCAACAAATTGGGATGGCAAATAAACAATGCTGCCCTACTGGAGATCCACCACTAGGCCTCCTGAAACATATGTGAACTTGACTGTAGCCTATAGTGTTTTTTCTCACTAATACTAAAACCAAAAACTAGGCAATAAAAATTTGAGATTTTTGCCTTAAAAATGAGACTGAAAATAAAGATATTTTAAACAAATCCCCTATTTTTGTAAGTAATAACAATTTACTAAAACTATTTAAAAATTGTATTATTTGTCACCATTTATGCTATTTGGTTTATTTTTTGCATTTCCCTTGAGCAGCAAACTAGCCTGAATTACATACCCTATTTCAGCTCTCAGGTCTTACGCTCAACCACAAGGGTTTCCAACACAGCAGGGAAAGGTTTAAATAAGACAACACCATTTACCTATGTTGTCACTAAATTAAAAATTAACAAACATTTCTGTTCAATTTGTGCTTTGGAACCCGTTTCTTAACACAAAACAAGCCACCATCACACTAAATGTTGTATCAAAACTACTTGACAATTCCCTTTGCTTTTATTGTTCATGGTGTGTTTTGTTACCTTCGGTCTGTTACAATTAGCAACTATTCTCACTATCCTTCTCTTCAGGTCTTCCATGCTGGGCATACTTAACCTGTTTAACATACAAAACAAAGTGAAAAATGCTTCTTAGGCCAACTGCTGGAGAATAACCATCTCTGAATAAAATGTAATTGACCATCTCAAGTCACATCCTCACCTTGCAACAAGGTCCTTTCCAACAATGACTGACACAATGAAGCATTTAGAGTAGTCTGCAAGTGATTTGCTTAAAAATAAAAAAAATATATATATACATATTTTAGTTTTTGGTATGACCTATGTTATTTGTATAATATAATAATGTGTTGCAATAAAAACGTTCAGTTATTTTACTGGACTTTTTTCTGGAACTAGGCTTTTAAGACTAAATTCAAGAGCAGGTTATATCGAACCCCCTTACACATGCTAATAAATAGATGGACTAGATGACTTCTTGTGGTCCCTTACAATCCTAAATTTCTATGATTCTATGTTGAACAGGCCAAGATTAGTTAAGGATTTTGGTTTGAAGCACTTACTTTCAGTATTAACAGTGTATTTGTTAACAGAATTAACAGTATTTCATTCTTTAAAGGCTACTCAGGAACAATGTCAGACAATTACAACTTTGCTGGAAAACTTTATTTTATAAATAAGCTGTGAACAAGTCTCAGTCATCATCTACAAATGCAAAACCCCACAGTCAGAACAAGATAAGCCTGTTCAAATTTCTTTAATATTAGGGCTGTCAATTAATTGAAGTTAACTTACATGATTAACTCAAAAAAATCACGATTAATTGCAGTTTTAATTGCACTGTTAAACAATAGAATACCAATTGAAATTCATTAAATATTTCGGATGTTTTTCTACATTTTCATATTTTTTATACATTTCAATTACAACCCAGAATTAATTAGATTGATTTCAATTACAACCCAGAATTCTAAGTGTATATTATTCTTGATTAGAAATATTTGCACTGTAAAAGATGAAAAATACTATTTCTTTTGTTTAATTCACCTTATACAAGTACTGTAGTGCAATCTCTGTGTCGTGAAAGTGCATGTTACATAACTGCACTCAAAAACAAAACAATATAAAACTTCAGAGCCTACAAGTCCACTTAGTCTTACTTCTTGTTCAGCCAATCGCTAAGACAAACAAGTTTGTTTACATTTACAGGAGATAATGCTTTCAAAAGTCTTAAAAGAGCAACACTCCCAACAAGGAAACTATAGAACCTGAACCACCAAAAAAGAAAATCAACCTTCTGCTGGTGGCATCTGACTCAGATAATAAAAATGAATATGCATTGGTCCCCACTACTTTGGATTGTTATCGAGCAGAACCTGTCATCAGGATGGACGCATGTCCTCTGGAATGGTAGTTGAAGCATGAAGGGACATATGAATCTTTAGCACATCTGGCATGTAAATATCTTGCGATGCCTTGCGATGCCAGCTACAACAGTGCCATGAGAATGCCTGTCTTCATTTTCAGGTGATATTGTAAACAAGAAGCAGGCAGCAATATCTCCTGTAAATGTAAACAAACTTGTTTGTCTGAGCAATTGGCTGAACAAGAAGTAGGACTGAGTGGATCTGCAGGCTCTAAAGCTTTACATGGTTTTATTTTTGAATGCAATTATTTTTGTACATAATTCTACATTTGTAAGTTAAACTTTCATGATAAAGAGATTGCACTATAGTACTTGTATTAGGTGAATTAAAAAATACTATTTCTTTTGCTTTTTTACAGTGCAAGTACTTGTAATCAAAAATAAATATAAAGTGAGCACTGTACATTGTATTCTGTTCTTTAATTGAAATCAATATATTTGAAAATGTAGAAAATATCCAAAAATATTTAAATAAATGGTATTCTATTATTGTTTAATCGTGTGATCAATTTTTTAAAAATCGTGCGATTAATCACGATTAATCGCTTGACAGCCCTATTTAATATATTAAAACTTAAAACCACTACAGCTTCTTCTGTCAAAATATGAGCCAAATCCATCTCTGAAGCAACTCTACTCAGTCATACCAGGGATGAATTTGGGTAAGTATCTTAATAATTTCTGTAACTTTCACTTAAAACCAAGTATTGTATTTACCTTAACAATCCTCCTGGAGGAGAAAAGGCATAACATCTTAATGTTGGGAAGGAGTTTCTGAGCATGATGGCCAATATGGAAGCTGTTCCACCACCTAAACTGTGACCAACTACAACTAGTTTATATTCCTAAAGACAAAAACAAAAAGAGAGTTATATGGTGAGGTTAAAAGAGAGACAGCTTGCTCCACTTTGATTTCCAATGTAACTAAAGTGTTTTGTCAGAAACACTGCTAGCAAAATTGAATAATTTGGAAGTCATGACTTACAGGAGCAATGGTGAAAGCCTGGTTTAAAATGCCATCATTTATTAGCCTTCTGTAGATGTAATTTGCTGCTTGAGTTATCCCCTAGAAGACAGTATTCTAAGTTAAGAGACAAAAGTAGTGTCCAGTGGGAAATGCAATACCCATATCCCTTTAAATGCAGTGTTCAGAGTACTGACTGCAAAAATGTGTGATAACCTAGTTAACTGTTTCAATGCTCTATTGACATATGTATTGCCCAATAGTGGCACCTGAGTATACTGCACATTTACATTTTTTCTTTTCTTTTTTTTTAAATTTAAAGGGATACAAGAGGCAAGCAAAACACCATGACTACAAATTAAAAACTTCTCTTGCATTGCAGAGAAGAACACTGCCAACAAGCCACCCAGATAGCTGATCTACTCCGTCTCACCAAAAAAACCCGCTAATTCCATTTAACTGAAGAAATATAGGATTGTTAATTTGATTTTTTTCATTGAATAAATCACTTCAAATGGTTAAAGACGACACATGCCTTATGTACAAAACCATTTTCCAGAACGTCTTCGAGCACCAGGTCTTCACACTCTGCTGACAGATCAGTGAGGAGATCCTGCAAGTAAATAACGAGACAGACCCCTTATGCTACAGACATCTATTATGGGAATTTTCACAGCCTTTACACTGTCTTTACTACAGTAATATCCTCAAGCAAACTTCGATTCTGCAAGTAATTGCACATAAAAAAAAGGGAAGTATGAATCTTTCTTACTTACACACACCTAGAAACCCATTACAAAGTGCCATTTACAGCTACTGTATATATACACAATACTCTGATCAAAGCTACTATGCAAAAGCTGGAATGTACACTGTACATACACCTCACACCATATTGACACAAAATTACCTGTGCCCTTCTCCCACTTGCCTCTTAAAATGGCATCCAGGCATCCAAAACCAGACAGGCTTATGACTTAAGAAGATTATCTACTTCCCCTATCTCATTGCTGACTCAACTGTTGGGTTATTTTAAAATTCATTGTGTCACTGTAGCACTATTTCGTCTAGCCACTACAGAGAAGTGTACTGTCTCCTCCAAACCATTAGGACATACCCATCTCCAGAGCCAGTGTTACACAACAGAGATGATACCTCAAAAGACAAGGTTCCTCTCACTGCAACCACAATAGCCTCCTTTTTGTGATCCAAAGCAACAAAAAATGGGATCTCGAAAATCTAAAGGGTAAAAAAAATTAGGTGTGTTTAGTGAAGATACCAAATTTTTAAGAACAGTAAAGATTTACTGTAGTTTCCTGGAAAGGAATGAACATGACATCATGAAATTCTATTTAGACATATAAACTTTCCTTACGGAACTCAGGATTTTTTAAAATCTATTGTATGTTATCATTAAGATTTCTCTTATTCTTGTACAAGGTTACACGAGAGCTGTTGCTATGTGTTGTGAAGACTATCAGTATTTAAAAAAAGTCAATGTTTGTGTTACTGTTATCTAAACAAGCACTTGTGTATTAGGGTTGGTTTTGTTTTTTTTTTAAAATACTTTTTAAAACATTTTGGGTTGGTTGGGGCTTCCATTATGTAACAGTGGAGGGTGAGGAGAGGAAAGCATCCTCTTCCTGGTTTCTAATTGAACTCAAGAAATTACTGAGAATTCTCTTGTTGAATGTTTGTCCAGATTGTTTACCTTGTTATGAAAGCTGATATGAACGAAATCTCTGTACTGTAGCCCTGTTATTTTTAGGATGGATCCAAAGTGAAAGTTAAGACGATCACTGCCAACCATATCAGAATCCGTTGGGCTGTTTCTGCAACTAAGGAAACATGGGAAAGAAAAGTGAACTTGCCAGTTCCAGCTAGTTACATTTCCTCTCAGAAAAAGAGCTCAATTACATTCACAGCAGGGTTTCTACTGGGAGCACACTGGGTGTTTATACTATAAAGACTGGCTAATACACCATTGCTATAAATCTTTTAGCAGAGTAAACAAGGCAATTCCGAAGATTTTTTTTTTTTTTTAAAAACATCCAGATAGAAATTATACAATTGAGGAAAAATTTCAAGTCCAAAAACAATTCTAAGGAGAGAGTTAATTTGACCCCAGCCACAATTTCAGCTATAAAATTATAAATTCAATTTCTCCCAAGTCTTTATTACTGTAAATTGTGACATCTCAGGAAGATAATTAACGTCATGGCAATCAAAGCTGGATGGAATATTCACTCCTAATGTCACAAATAATGGAGGCGACTATTTAAACAGAGCAATAGTATATAAGATCATGCTTGCCTTCTTAATATTAGCTGCCAAAGTTTGCAATATTATTGTAGCTGTGATGATCACAGAATATTGGAGACATGGTGGGTTAGATAATAACTTTTACTGGGTCAACTTCAAAGCTGCCAAAGTTTGACAGAGGAAAGGTTTTCATTTAGTATAATTTCCAAATTTGTTTATTTCTTTTTCTTAATTTTGACACACTTGTGTTACATTAGGTTAAATAGAACATTAACATACAAAGCTAGTTTATGGTGAGATTGACTTATGTTAGATTTTGATCCTGCCCCTGTCTCAGTGCAGATGGCCGCCTGTGCAGAGGCCTGTTAACTTGGGGGAGGACTGCCTATACAGAGAGAATTTCAGGATCAGGGTCTTTAACAACTGACTCATTCCTTATATAGAAGCAACTGGTTCCACTGTAAGACAAAGAGGTCTAGGAGGGTAATATTGTCTGATTCCCCTAAATAGAGAAAACAATGTTCTTCCATTTATACACATGCTTGTCTAAGCAGAAGCATATAAGGCCTCAATCCATCTTTTTCGGTTTAGTTTGATTCCAACACCCCATGACCCTGTTTTGAGGAATGTCCATTCAACTCAATCAAATGCCTTTTCAGATACTAACACTGACTTGGCAGAATGAAGACCAGTAACTCTTTACACTGTTTGCAATCTTTTGCTTCTTTGTTTTCTTGTGACTATTGGGTCACACTCTTTGTAGCTTGCATAGGCTGAGCTCACTGCAAGCACCAGGGGTTCCTTGCATCCCCTCCACTCCACCCCACAAGGCCCTGTGTGCTACCCTCCTGTCCCTCTTTATTTCAGGTACTCCCTGAAATTTCCCCATATTCCCCCTACGCCAGCAGCTCTGTGTGCACCCCCATTCCCGCCAGACTAGGAGTTGTGTGTGCATCTTTTTCCCTCCATACACCCCATCTTCCCAGTGCTGGAGCTCTGTGTGCCCCCCTCTACCCACACCAGGATACCCCAATCTCTGCCTCACTAGGTTCTGTCTCCCCCCCGTATTCTCCATGCTAGTGGTCTTGGGTGCTCCCCACTCCACTCATACCAAGGTCCCTCAATTTTCATTCCACACCAGGGGCCCTATGTGTCTTCTCACCATTCTGTCTCCAATGCCAGGGGCTGTGTGCACACTCCCATTCTCTCATGCCCCAATTCCCCCAGACCAGTCATTCAAGGTGCAAACATGTTAAACTCTGGTAGGACAGGCAGAGATGAGACAGAGGTAGTTTTATGCTAGAAGGCATTAATGGGTGCCATTAACCAACTGTTTGATTGTATAGACAATTACAGAGGTGCTTAAAACTGTTGCTTTATATGTCTCCCATTCCCCCTTTCAGTTGTCCAATTCTATCCAAAATCAATAGGGTTCTGGTCACTGATGCCCATGAACATTCTTTGAACATTTGTAATTGATCACGTGCAGTGTTCAAAAACTTCTTGTGTTATAGCCAAACACAGAAATGCCATTAAGTTCAGCGTATGGTGGTGTAAGTTTGGCCAAAGAAAACAGCTTGTCTACCCTTCCAAAATTGGAAGTAGTATTTTGAAGGTTGATTTCCTTTTACTCAATTTGTGAAAGACAACTCTAGCAGTCAAGCTCAAGTATACCTATTAATACATAGAAATTGATGAAATAAGAGAACTGCTATTTAAGTGATTTGTACTGATATGAAAAACCAAATAATTAAAAAACAAAACTATGCACTTTTAAGATCTTATACCAACCTACCAGTCACCATTAAGCTTACAGAGTGCAGTAAATGGGTTAGTGTATATGTAGTAAGGCCATCCATAAGCAGCTGCAGCAAACTGCATGTAGTGAGCAGCATTTTCTAATTCAATATCCAAATCATCAGTCTGGAGGGGGAAAAAAAAAAATCACCAGTTGTACATGTAAGGCAAGCCCAGGATAAAGAATGCAGATGCATACATGCTACTGTAACATTAAGGGCCTAGATCTCCCCATAGGCCCAAGAAGTCACGCAATGAAGTTTATTCTTTTACCTTTTCACTGTAAGCCCCAGGTAAGTGAAACAGAAAACTGAGAGGAAGGAGTTCACACTTACGCATATTCAATTTTCTTATTTAGAAAAAGTTTAGGGTGTATTTGTTAATAATAAAGCTGGAATCTTGAAAAATTCTAATTATTATTTAAAGTTATTGTTCATTAACAGTACCATGTTTCTATACTTTACTATGCACTGATAAACATGGTACTGAAAATTAAATGTTCATCCTAAGGGCTATAGGTGGAGGGAAGGCTACAGATTATGTAACAGACCATTCTCACAAGAGCTTTTTTTCTTTGCACAGGACTCACCATCAGTTGAATTCAAAAGGAATTATCTAGTATGTGGAGTGCACTTAAACTGTTTTAACTGAAGTGGAATCATCTACTTTGGTTAAAACGGTGCATTAGGTGAGAAATTAAAGATTACAAAAGGTACAAAATAATTTACAAGAGATTTTTCTCATTTTAAGCCATTTAAGAGACTGGTGGAAGATCCTGAAATGAAGTGTCACTCCTGATCAGCAAGCATTAAACAATTACTGTTTCTGCTTCTTATCCTGTTCATAGCACTGGAATGTCATCTTATTTGTTTTTGTGCATATTCTTCATGGTGATATAAAAAAGCCTATAATTTTCACACATTTACCTACTTCCCATTTCAAAATTTCATATTTATTAATATAAATGAAAACATGATTGTGGGGTAGAATTTTTGAAAGTGCCTAAGGAACACAACTCCCATTGTTTTTCAATGCGACTTGTTCTCCTAAATTACTTGGATGCTTTTGAAAATCCCACCCTTATAGCCCAGTTTTGTAATACACTTGGTAACATTTTGGGAGGTTTTTAGTTTATAATCACTTTCCAGTCATTGTTACTTTCAGGTTCTCCACGTATTAGTATAATACTGCAATGTTTTGATTGCAAACTTCATAAGAGAATTTTTATTGGATTACAAAATTTCCTATTTGAACTTAAAATACTGGAAACTATGAGCCTTAGATTTTGTCAAAGCTAATTTTTATAAAACTTGCATTTTAGTTCAGTTTGACAAGACACTGTCCCTTTAACAGGCTGTATCACAAAGCTGTTTTTTGTAGCATATCTTACCACATGGGATAGTGAGGAATGACACAGGACTTCTTCAGGGTCTTTTGGGCAGTTTTCCACTTTATCTTGCTCTTGATGGAGCAGAGTCAAGCCTGCTGCTATGTCAGTTGGCACCATATCAGTGTCCTGCCAAAGGAAATGGAAAAAATTCTTTAAAAATAAACCCACAACATCACACGCAATCCACTGAAAAATTTAAAAAAAGTGATTTTCTTTTGCAGTTCTATAGTAAATAGATTTACATCAGAAGGCAAGGGTGTGCTTGTGAAACATTCACATCCCCTCCAATGCACTCAATGTTGCATCTTTAAAAACTTTCTGCAAATAAAAGCTACATACATAAATTCCAATGTCACAAAGAAAGTTAAAAGGATCTTCTTTAAAAGGCCTGTGGAGCCCTAAAGCAAAACATGATCTGAACATGACTCATAATTGTCACAAGCAACTTAGAAAAAAAAAAACTTGTACCTCCCTCAACAGCTATTATGCAAGTCTGAAGGAGTGCCCATGCTGTTATTGGTGATATGTCACTAGCAAATACTCCTGCTCTGAACCTACGGTAAGCCACATAGCATTTGCTTACAGCTCTTTAACAATTCTGTAAATACATTTAGAGCTCGATCCTGCAAAGTGATGAGCACTGCAGTCACAAATGAAGCTGGTGTGAAATGAGAACACTCAGCCCCTCACAGGATTGGGTTTTTAGGGTGCCATGAAGATTATTCCATCTGTAAAGAAAACAGATTAGAAGGCCAGGGAGTATGGTAATTGATCTTTTCATCACAAGATTATTGGTTCAAATTGACCCTAGGTCAACAGTGATCATTGGAAGGCTCTTAGCAACTTATGGAAATGAGACTGGCAAAATAAACAAGCTAGATCCGGAGAAATAATTAGAAATATTGGCAGAAGGATTCCCCTTCTATTAGCCATGAGAACTGGGATTTTTAAGTTTGACGGCAATGGGAAGACTCAGCAAAATCAGAATGCGGGCACTTCCTTTTTCTACCACGCATAAGTGAAGGAGGGTTTACAGAGGAAAGGTCCAGGTACATAGGTGGGGAGGTTTTAATTCAGTTGCCCAGGATGACAATTCTGCTTATCAAGGCTCCCTCTATCATCCTACAACCCACTGACTAAGAGGCAATCAAAGAGCAGTATGCACAGACACCACTTTAATGGATAAGAATGTCTCCCACCAACCTTGAGTATGAAAAGAGATCGTACGGTCACCGATGAACTCTGCTCTCCCACATAGTCGCACACTGTGCTGGCAGTTAAGTCCCAGCTCAACCAATACTATGCAGACCTTAACTTGTAATGAGCTTTCTATAGCATCCAAGAGTAGCTTTTTGTATGGGACAGTTTGGTATAGTTCAGGATGGGAGAACTGCCTTAACACACTGTTAATGCTAACATTACCTCTTCATAAACTCAATAAATTAATGTAGCTAAATTGTTTGCTGTTTGTACCATTCCCTACTATGGGCAAGGGAAAAAATGGTAAACTCTGGATCATCACATACCAAGGTTAAGAAAAATCAACCTCATTCCCCTGATTAGGGAATTGCCCAAGTAGAAGAGAAAAAGAACTTCACTGGCTGAACTACAGCCCAATAGCCTTACCGGGAAATCTAAACTCCCAATATAGACAAGATCCTAAACTCAGTTAATACCACTAGGCATTCTTAGAGGAGCATGAGAAAACTCCAGTGGAGTGGGGCTTTTCTTTTAGTTAAGACAGTGAATATGTTTGTACAAGGAAAACAGTGATGGGACCAATTATTTTTTAAATGCAAGCAAGCATGATATTACTGGAAAGCAAGTTTGTGACCAAAATATTGGTGAAAAAGTGGAGGCAAATTCACTGTTGCAAAGCTATTGCCCATCTGGCTTCTATGTCTGTGAAGTGCCAAGTGTGTTAAACTAAAGCAGTTTGAAAACAGTGGTTACTTGAGCATACAGCTTTTCCAAGTTTTAAGTTCAGAATTTGTTAGTCTGTGCAATTTTCCCAATCCCTTCCCCCCAGAGGGCAAAGGAACCCATGTTAAGAGAAGGACAGCATGGTATAAGTTTCAGAATAGAGCTGATAGGTATCAAAAGCCTGATTCTCAAGTAAATGGTACAGCTGAACTCTCACTGACCTAAAGGCAAGAGCCACATCTGAAAATGCTGCAGTATTGGGGGTTCAGTGTTTAGTCAAATGGAATGAAAAGAACAAACAAACAAATCTTTCATCTTACTGAGAAGTAGATGCGGAAAAGCTCTGCAATACTTGTAAAAGCCACTCGGTGATCATCATCTTGCATAATACAACAACACAGTAACCTGATTCTCGTCTCCCAGACTCTGGTTGCGGTCTTCTTGACATTATAAAACAATTGGCCTGATTGACTGCTTTCCAAGTTGCGATTTATATCATCAGCCAGGTACAGTGTCTTTTTCCCCCCAAGTGGATCAAAGACAATTACAACTGCAATGACGGTAAAGATGATGATAACCCAGCTGCAAAACAGAAGGGTGTGGGAGGAAAGGCTTGTTGAACCATGTACTTGTACAGTACTGTATACAAGAGCATGCAGCTATAGTTCTTGTCAGGTAAAAAAGAAAACAGTTTATTATGGCACTCACTTACTGGTACTGATGATGGCTTTGTAATAGGGTCACCAATCCACTAGGAACAGGATTGAGACTGCCAACTCATTTCACATAACACACTAAACCTCTACTGCAATCACCATGGACTGAAAACTGTTTTGAAATAGCTAAGTTGGGGAAGGCCCCATATGCCATTATCAGTCTCTTCAGGCATCTATCCCTACTCCTCTGTCTCTCTTCCCCCACCCCCTTCACATCTGTCCTATCATCCATCTTTGTCTGTCTTTTTGACCCCTTCTCATCTTTACTCCTCATAGCCTTCACTCCATCCCCTGCTTTGTAAGGGAAAATGCCACAACATCTCTCAGGTAATTAGAAAAGCACAATGAAAAAATCAGTTTATTCTAGTCTTAATATATTCACACACTACAAAAATCCTTCTTTAAGAACTTCCAGTAATTTAAAACAAATATCCAAGTTGTGAGCGGTCAGAAAAAATCTTCACTGGATACTTAAAATATAAATTCATAATATAAGCTTAGCTTAGTTTTCTGTTGGCATCTTTACCTTGCAACAACTGTCCCAAATACGGCATTTACCACAGTCCTTTCACAACGTACATCGGTGTCAGAGACCCAGATAGCTCCCACAACTGCCCAGACCAATTCTGGGATATAAAGACCTAGCCGAGTATAAAGCAATTTAGGAAGAGATTTCCTTGGCCCAGGGTTAGAAATTGTTCCTGAAATTACAGATGGAATTTAAGTAAAAAGTCACTTACAAATATATCTTATGTACATAAAGTATCATAAAAAAAAATCACATCAGTATTTTTATGCTATGGTGCCGTGTGAAATTTAATCAAGTATATAAAAATCCCAACAAACAAAGATTTTTTACAGAGAAGTTTCAAAGAAGTGAAGCTGTAGACCATAAAGTGTCTTAGAACTGAATGGTGAACATCTTTAGCATTTTTAATTGTTTAAAACTGGAAATATTAAAATCATTTCTGCTTTCCCAGAGGAATTTTTGTATCTGTTGTTACACATATCTCATTTCCCAGAAGATACATTTCAGCCTTAGCCTATTCATATAGGCAGAGTGTTGGGGTGCAGGATGGGGGTGCTGGCTCTGAGAGAGGGGTCGGGTCAGGGCTGGGGCAGGGGTTTGGGGTGCAGGAGTGGGTTCGGAGTGCAAAGAGGGTTTGGGGTGTCGGCTCCGGGAGGGGACTCAGGACTGGGGTGCAGCCTCCTGCTGGGTGGCGCTTACCTTGAGCATCTCCTGGTCGGCGGTGCAGCAAGGCTAAGACAGGCTCCCTGCCTACCCCGGCCCCACTCCGTGCCCGAAAGGGGCCAGCACATCCCTGCGGCCCCTGGGGTGGGGGCACATGGCTCTGCCCCTCTTTGCAGGCTCCTCCCCGCAGCTCTCATTGGCCAGAGATCCCCATTCCCGGACAATCGGAGCTGCAGGGGTGGTGCTTGCAGGCAGGAGCACTGCGCGGAGGGAGATCCCTGCCCATCCCCATCCTCGGGGCTGCGGGGGCACGCTGACCACTTCCAGTAGCTGTCTCGGGCCAGGGCAGGCAGGGAGCAAGTCTGCCTTAACACAGCCCTGCTACACCACTGGAGATCACAATCAACTGGGAGAGTCTCTAGGATCGACCAGTCGATCATGATCGACTGGTTGGTGACCACTGCTTTAGGCAATAAGATTTCTGCTATTGACTTCAGTTAAGTGGTAGCGAGCCCATAACAAACCCAAAACTCCACAAAAAGTAAGGCCTGCCTACAGTTCTTTGCTACTCTGGTTGTGAGCTTTGCTGTTTTAGTTCAGAATTCCTTACATTTCTGGCAAGCATTTTTTTTTTCTACATATTATACTGGAATAGAACAAGGATTTCTATTTGCAGTTGCACCTTTAAAGATTTACAGGTTTGTCCAGTCAACTGAATAGAGATCAATCTCAGAGTTTCAATCACTGATCTTTATTCACAGTCTTTTCTCAAAGGCACTTTAGCTACAACAAAACCACGACCACCATACAGCTTACTTTGCTCAATAGGTTTGGGCTTATTAATAAGGCAGTTATATACAAGAACACAAGATGCATCTGATGAAGTGAGCTGTAGCTCACGAAAGCTTATGCTCAAATAAATTTGTTAGTCTTTAAGGTGCCACAAGTCCTCCTTTTCTTTTTGCGAATACAGACTAACACAGCTGGTACTCTGAAAGATGATACAAGCAGGCTCATGAGCATCCCCCACGCTCTGCTCAGATGGCTCTGACTGCAACACTCCATCTTTTTGGGCAAAAGAGCAGTCAAACAGTATTCTACAAGACCAACCCAAAAATCTTTTTAGAGTTAGCTTATGTTCTAACCCAGTCCCCTTCCTCCTCTAATCATTTGTCTGTGATACACTCACCCTGCATAAGCATGGGACCCAAAATGCACACATTCGTGTCACAGTTTGGGGTACTACCACCAATCCACCATTCAGCCTTGTCTCACTATTTTAAGAATAAGATTAACAGAGTCTGGGTGTTGTTTTTTTTTTTAAATGAAGTTGTGTTCTAGAAGAAGGATCTCATCAAAATAGAAAAGCGGCATTTGTCCGATGAAGAGAACCAAAGCTATCCAGATCTGAAATACTAGAAACCTTACTGTATTTTCTGAGAGTCACAAGTAGTTCACAGAAGGGCGGTGATGCCATTCAGCTCAATTTATAAATACTTTTTATACAGTGAGATTATCAACTACAGAGATGTTACTAACAAACTTGTCACCCAACAAAATAAAAATGGCGTTGTGAATTACAATGTACACTCTAATGTTGCAGATATTGTCAAGCAGATGATAGCATAATTAATTGAACATTTCAGTGCCTCAGATGGTGATGCATGTAACTCAGCCTAACAAACTTCTGTCCACCCACTTGATCCAGGCACGTAATTTAACTAACAACGGATTATTTCATTGTTACTGTTTGAAAGTGCTTGAATTGTTTTTATTTGGGGGGGAGGGGAATAATGTAAGAGTATCAATTGACTCCAGATATACAAGAGATTTACTAGATTATCTAGTCCATCTTCTAGTTTCCTTTATTGCACATTTACTAGAGTTTTCTTCACTTTAGTTTTAGAGACACCAAGTAACAGGGCTTCCACCATTTCCCTTCAGAGATAATTCTCCCAATGAAAAACAACTCACTGTTAGATCTCCCAGAGATCCAGTCTCAGTTTTTCCTTAATTTATCTGCCCTAGTTATATGCCCTTTAATTATGCTGAACAATCCTTCTCCCTCCTTGATGTTAACATACATATATTTATATATAGTTATACCCCCAATCTTTCCAAAACTTGTAGTTTGGGCAAGGTACCTACATTGATCTTTAATCTCTCATCGGATCAATCCCTCCAGATGCCTAAATATTTTAGCTGTTTTTCTATGATCACTTTTGGATGGTCCAATGGTTGGGGCACTAGCCTAGGACTTGGGAGACCCATGCCCAAGTCCCTGCTCCACAATAGACTTTCTAAGTCACAACCTCTCTGTAAAATGGGGATAATACTGGGGTGTTGTGAGGATAAATACACCAGAGATTGTGAAGTGCTCAAATACTACCCTAATGGGGGCATACAAGTACGTAAGACAGATATTAGGAGGGTCAGTCTTTCTGGTAATGAGGCTCCCAGAACAGAACATGATATACAAAGGGACCACCATTACGGGTACCTCTCTGTCCCATGATAAGGTATCTGTGCATATGCTCCCATATCATATTAGTTTGCCTCTCTTCCTCAAACTGAAACTCTTCCTGTTTACATAATTATTGTATTAAGAAGTCACTATATAATTTGTGTGGACCACTTTTCTATATACTTTTCCTTAACAGCCTACTGTATCTGATACACTTTTGATATGTGGCACCAAATGTGACTATATAAGGCTATGTTTACAAGTACCATTATGGAGCAGATGGATTCTGCATAGCTTCTCCTGGAAGTCTGTCAGAGGTGTTAAAAATAGTGCATCTTTCCAGATTATTTATTAGTGAACTAGTAAATTGCTGAATCTGATTTGGGTTGTGAGAGGATATTCTGGAGTCCCTCTATTTTAAATTATCTCCAGGCTGTGGTAAACTGTTACCTCTATTTGATTACTGAAGGCTGGAAGAGTTTAATTTATTTGTATTAGTAGTAGTAATGCTGAAAAATGGTTATTATAAACTTTATTACTGTCAGAGCACACAGAATGTTTGTAAAGCTGTTCTATTTTAATGTCAAATCTAAATAAAATATATAGATCCTACTACAATAAGCATCAGATATTGCAGACTAAGTATTTACCTTGCATACTGATATACACAATAGCAGATACAGCGCATATTATGGCAGCCAGGAGAATGAGGAGGACAAGCAGATAGCTGTGCAATAATCCCCCTCCAGTACAATTAAATCTCCCTTTGTGAATGGAGTACAAAACAAGAATTCCAATCCACCTGCAGAAAAACAGTACCATAAGTTGTCACGGCTAGGAAGAAACATACTTCACCACAAAGCTGATTCAGTCATAAAAAATTCCCCATCTTCACTTAAAAATAATTCACAAAAGGGGCATATTCCCACAAAGAAACTCACAGAATGTAAAGACCCCAATTAAGTATAGTGCAGTAACCACAATAGAGACTACAAGTTCAAAAATATCCTCCTTTTTTTATAGCACCTTTCATTCAGATGGATCCCAGAGTACTTCAATGATGGATGAAGTTTATCAGTTTAAGTGATGCAGCCACACCTTGAAGTGGTAGCAAGTGATTACTGTGTAGTACGGTATTAATTTAGCACAGCATACAAAAATTACATTTCATGTCTCGTTCTCGAAATGAAAACCCAAGTTGTCCATACATGATAGGAAAACCCCCTCAATTTCCCCTCTCACTTCCATGCAATAAAATGCCAAATGAACCAGATAGTCTCACATCCCATCTAATCAAATATTCCTAACAAACAAACCAAATCAGCAGCTTCCTAAGCATGTTATAAAAAGCAACAAGGTAATCTACAGATACATAACAGCAATTTCCTAAGGAGCCCAAGGACTACTCCAATTAGAATGAAAGTTAACACACATTTAAAATAAACAATTAAAATAATCCTAACATTTGCATTATCCTTTATAGAGGACTAGAAATCACTTGTCAATAGTTAATCAGCAGCTGATCAGTTTTGCCTTCAGCTTGCTGTCACCAGGAGGGAATGGCTGCAGGCGGAACACTTGAGTGAGTCTGTATCTATCTATCTATCTATCTGTTGTCTCTTATCTTATACACTGTAAGCTTTTCGGGGCAGGGAACGTCTTTTTGTTCTGTTTGTATAACACCTAGCATAATGGCATACTGGGTTCTACAACAATAATAATAGGGCACCACAAATGTACAGTGCACCTTCCACGGCAGGCCAGATCCCTCTAACATCTCTCAGCTGCCAGATGCCTCTAACATCTCCCAGCGGCATGGTCCTCCCCACGTTGGAGGGTGGTGGGAAGTGAGGATGGGGTGGCTCTTACCAGATCATTCTGATGAAAAGTTCAAAGGCTCCTGGAAAAACAAAGTCATCACTAGCGATAGCCCAGCGTCTCCCAAATATCACCATTCCAGGCATCTTGGGGACCCTACCAGTAAGCAAAGGTACTGATGACACACACAGACACACCTTACCCTCACTAAAGCAGGGAGCCCGCCTCCTCCCCAAACGAGCCACCATACCTCAGATTACTTCTCTCTGCCCACACACTACCCATCTGCCCCCTTTCCCTGCCCCAAACCAGCCCCTGCCCCAGAAGGGCTGCCCCCCCTTCCCTCAGGCCAGCCCCCACCCCTTAACCCTTCAATACCCAGCCCCAGCCGGGCCGCCCGCCTTCCGTCCCCACACTTCCCTACCACGCCCCCAACCCCGCACCGAGACGTCGCTCCCTGCTCTCCGCGGACAGAACGTTACACCAGTCCCAAGAGGATTACGTAAAAACAACACAACGTCATGACGCAACCACGCAGCGTAAGCCCTTCGCGCAGTGCACACATTCACCCTTTCCCACCAGAGCAGGAGAAGGACTCGCCCGGCTAGACGCTTCCCCCTTCCGTTTCAGGATGGGACGCATGCGCAGGGCTTCGGCGATCCCCAGTCTTCGAGCGGCTAAGCGCATGTGCAAAAGACTCACGGCTCGGAGTCCCCTCTCCTCCCGCATCGGTTTGTGTGTCTCAAAGCTCCCACTCTCCCACCCCTTCCTGGCGCCGAGGCGCATGCGCAGAGCTCTCCCGTGCTGACAGGCGCTCCCCCGGCGGTGGAGGCAGCAGGCTGGGCACCGGGCACTTGGCTGTTCCCCACGATGCTGCCACCCTGGCAGATGTACCAGCTGGCCGTGTTCTGCCCCGTATGGCACTGTGACAACCACATATCACATCACCTCACAGCACCATGCCATCACCCTACACGCCACTACAGCGTGGGGTCTTGTGTGTCCCTCCCACACTGGCGTGAGCAGGTGATATTGCCCCGTGTAAACGGTCACCCTCGTCCGTGTGCAGAGCAGGCTCAGTTTAAACCCTTTACTGGCCATCTAGTCATCGACTCATAGAAACGTAGGGCTGGGTGTCAGGCCTATGTCTACAATGCACTGACTCAGGTGTGAGCCTAAGCCCCCTTCAGTCCACACACAAATCAGGCTGACTTGGGTTGGCCAGTACCCAGGACCTAGCCAGGTGGGACCCGGTAACTTCTCACTGCCACCTGACAAGATACAAAGGGGTTCGAAGAATCTCCTGATTCTGGTGTGTATGTTCTGGTTCACCAGAAAAAGTTGTGTGAGCTCTCAACTGAAAGCCAGTGACACTAGTCATCAATATAATTGTGAAAATGTATGTATGTGTACTATGTAAGGAGTTATTAATCTGTACTAGAGGATTATGGTTTTAAGCATGTAAATTAAAAGCAGGTCAGCAAAAGGTGACATGCCATAGGCTGGTTCCTTGAGCTCGGAGGTAAGAAAGGTGTATTTCTGTCAGGCTGTAAATTAAGCATTGTAAGCTAACACAATGGATGCCTATTTACATATAAAGTCAAATGGTAATGAATTGATGTGAACTCAACAGGAAAGGAACACAGAAACTGAAGGGGGGGGGAAAGCCATGGATGTTATCCTGTCTCTGAGTAAAGACAACGAACTTTGGGGCTATTTCTAACAGGCAAGCCGACATCCTGGCATCCTCCACCTCCATTCATGAAAGCAGGGTCTCAGCCAAGCTTGGCTGAAAATGCTGAAGAGGACTTTGAATGACAAATAGCTTTAGACAGGTGGTTAACCTGTTTGTTAGATTTAGTCTTTGGAAAGCATGTTACAATTTTGTTTTCTGTGTAACCATTTGTTTCCAATATCCTTACCCATTATCTCCCCTATCTCTCATCTTTGATACATTTATTCTTGTTTTCACTACGAATATATCTCAGTGCTGTGGTATTAAGCAAAGTGCTGGTCATGAGTTGAATCTTACAAGCAAGGGGTATCCTGTTCCTTTGGAACAAGTGGGCCTGGTAATTCTGTGAGTATCCCATGGATAATGGGCTGGACTCTGCAGGGAATGCTCCAAGTATCTGGGGATGGTGTGTGCCTGTCAGTACCTGTACAGAGAGATTGAGGTCTGCGGAGGCTTGGAAAGCAGTGCTGATGCTGCTCCAGGCTGTTGGTTTCAGGGACTCAATCCAAGGCAAGCAGAGCCAAGACTCTGTCACACTAGGGGCAAGTAGTGGCAAGGTACCTCACAATCTTGGTTCTTGGGTACCCTTGGAAAGTGACATAGCTGTGTCAGACTGAGTTCCACTGTGACTTGGGTCCAAGCCCTGTCATTTTCCAGTCCGGATGCAACTCAAGCCATAGACCTGAGTCAGAACATCTGCGTAGTGTAGTCTGGACATGTTAGCATGGCTCTGCTGGTCCAGCAATTGCAAACCCAGGTTTACAATGCAGCATGGGCTCAGAGACACCGAGTCCACAAGCCTGAGTCCTACAGACTCAGGTTTACAGTACAATGTAGACATACATTAGGATGACACGATAAGTTTGTTTTTTAATAAGATACGAAATTACACACACACACACAAATGATGTTAAAAGAACATTAAGACTGCACATAAAATTCAAGGACTCAAAAGTTAGGAAATGCCAGAATTAAGGGTGCCTGTGCAACCTTAATTAAGCCCCCTTGTGGATATACATTTATGATAGTATGATTATGTAATTATGATTATTTTTCCACAAGATCCCTGCCTCATTCAGTTCACAGAATGGAGCTACTCTGGAGATGAATTAGGGTCATATAGTGAAGAAACCTGTCTGTAGGACCCCTACTTCATTTGTTGCAAAGTTGGAAGTGTGTAATTAATGAGGCAGGGGTTGCAAGAGAAAGGAGACCTTAATAATGTCCTTTTAATGTAATTTTTGTGTGTTCAATAACATTCCATGTTCACCTCACCCAAAGCTAGATATGTATTGAAAAAACAGAATTCCTGTACAGACCTTAGCAGAGAGTCTTTCTGCTTACAGAAGTGGCCACCTCAGAAAGGGAGATACCCACATGTAAAATTTATGTTCGGTTTATGGGCTACAACTAGGATCAAAACCAGTCTTAACTTCCATGAGGAACAAACAAACCTTTCCCCAAAGGTATGGGTCAGAGACAGCAGGTTTGCAAAAGGCATGGAAGACAGGTGAGATGGAAACATTAGGGAACAAATGGGGAATTGGGGACGATATTAAAGGTGGAGAGAAACATACAAAATACGGGCAGAAATAAAAAAAAAGGATATGGGAAAAGCAAGTCACAAAATTGTTGGATGGGTGTGAGAATACAGAAGTGCCTCCAGTAGTTGGACTTGTAACTGAAAAACAATCTCATTTACATTTGAAGTTAGGTGGAATATGGGTGAGGGAAATAAAGGGACCCATAACAGACAAATACAATTTAACCAAATGCACGGTCAGTAGTAATTAATAATATGAAATCTATCCAGGTACTTATTTGGCACTCATTACTGTAGTATCTGAACGCCTCACAATCATTACTGGATTTTATCCTAATACCGCCCTTGTGAGGGAGAAAGTATTATCACCATTTTACAGATGCAGAGCTAAGGCACAGAGTACATTAAGTCACTTATCCAAGTTCATACACAAAATATGAGGCAAGAACTGAACCTAGCTCTCCTGAGTCCCAATACAGTATTCAAACAGTAGACAATCCACACCCCCTGTATTTGATCCACTCACCCAATACAGTATTCAAACAGTAGACAATCCACACCCCCTGTATTTGATCCACTCATCTTCTCTGTCACATTTCTAAATTCAATCTAGTGCAGCAACAGATTTATTTCCACTTTTAATATGAATGTTTTACAAAATAATCTTAACAGATGTTTCTGTATTTAAAGAGAATATATCTATTTCCCCACAAACACCAGTACAGCAACAATGAAATTAATTTAAACAACCATCTGTTACTACAACTGTTCATCCAGACACAGGATGATACAAAGCCGTAATTTAAGAACAAAGATACAATTTACACCATTTCATAAAATGTTTATTGAGGATGGTAACACAGGATAAATCATGCAACAGCTCAGTAAAAAAGGGAATCATGTAAAGAATATAAAGAATGGTAATTGGTGCTGCTGATTTTCAAACAAGTTTATAAAAATCATACTAATTGTCCAAAAGTGACACATCAAAAACCACTTGAAGCTGAACATGGCCATTACTTGTAAAGTATTCATTAAAAAACTGAAGACATTTAAAATGGTCACCTACAGATTACTGCAATTGACAACTACCATGGGTTATTCATCCTTATAGCTGCAACAATATTACTACTAATGAAAGTAGGGCTCTACATCCAAAACAGTTTAACCACCTTTTCCTGAATAAAGAACACAATAGAAATGTTTATCACTAAACCACACAGCCAAGCACCTTACCCTCTCTAACCTGCATTGCCACCAAATACTTTATCACTAGGATTGCCTTCCAAGACAACAGATCAAAGACACAGAGGGCACGCACCCTGGTGGCCACAAGAATGGACTCCCTAACATCCTTTAACAGCCTGTTTTTAAAAGGGAAGGAACCAAAAAGAGAGAAAACTAACAAAACATGACTGTCAGCCTTAATGGCATTGACATGTTTTCATAGGAAACTCCCTATCAGCACATGGCATAGCATACTGGTCACAAGAAATTCACATCAAATATCAGTGGGTTCAGATTTAAGTTGACAGATATAATTCACCTTTTGGAAAAAAAATAAATATAGTGGAATGAAAATTGAAATGAAGGGGAAGAATAATGATTACCATCCATCAGACAGCACACGTGTGTGTGCACTGAAATAAATCAGTAATTTGAAAGAATCCTTGAAAATTTAAAAAAAAAAAATCATTTGTACTTATTTCTGGTCAAACAACCTCACAAAACCTCACTTTTGGAACTATTCAAATTGAAACTACACACTGAATTTATTAATACAGTATAAGTTTCTTTATGTAAAAAATCTTTATACATAGTAATAAAAAAGATAGAGGCAAGATGCATCAAACAGAAATCCGCTGGTTGTTTTTCCTCTGTTCTTACAGAGCCACTGATGACTATCTGTGCTAAAAAGAGAGTTGTATTTCTGACTATCTGTCTCAAGCATCTTCGCCTTTGCTTGTGGTAAGGATTGTTCTGTCCAAGCATCCAGAAGGACAGATGCTG